GCCGCCGCTCCGCTGGGCCCGCAGCTCGCCTGCCCGGTCCGGCCCTGAGCGAGCCTCGAATGTCACTCTAGCGGGTCATGAGCCAGAGCGCCCCGCGTCGCAGTGGGCGCAGCGAGCGGAGATAGCGGCCTCGCGCCCCCTGGTCTCGCTGTCCTGACGCGCGTCCGCCGCGTCCTCGTCCCCTTCTGTCCTTTTTTCGGGCCCGACCGCCGCCATGGCCACTCTGCTCCGCAGCAAGCTGTCCAATGTGGCCACGTCCGTGTCCAACAAGTCCCAGGCCAAGGTGAGCGGCATGTTTGCCAGGATGGGTTTTCAGGCGGCCACGGACGAGGAGGCGGTGGGCTTCGCGCACTGCGACGACCTCGACTTTGAGCACCGTCAAGGCTTGCAGATGGACATCCTGAAAGCAGAAGGGGAGCCCTGCGGAGAGGAAGGCGCAGAATCGCCCGTCGAAGGGGACATCCATTACCAGCGCGGTGGTGGCGGGGCTCCTCTGCCGCCCTCAGGCTCTAAAGACCAGGGCATGGGGGCCGGTGGTGAGTTCGGGGGCCACGACAAACCCAAGATCACGGCGTGGGAAGCTGGCTGGAACGTGACCAACGCCATTCAGGTGAGCGCGGGATTCCCAGCTTCTCCAGCCCGTATCCCCAGCCCAGCTCGGAGTGCCCGGCTCTGCCCCTACGCAGCGGTGACCTCGGCTTCGACACCTCCTCCGGGAAGGGGGACTCTGTCTCCTCTTCCCGATCCCTCCTAGCCTTGCTGGAGATCTACGCCCCCAGGTGGTGTCTCGCGCCCAGAGTCGCGCCCCCTTCCCAGCACCCCAGCTGCGGGACGACTTGGCTGAGGTTGAGAGGGAGACCCTGGTCCAGAGACCCTGCAAAAATCTTTGGAAACGCGCTGGTGGGGGTGGAGGTAGTAAGGGAGAGCGGCGGGGTGCGGGGATGAGGGAGAAAAAAAATCAGGATTGGAGAGGAGTAATGCCTTAAATTCTGGAATGGAGTCACAGCTGCATTTTCAGCCGGAAAAGAGAGGGGGAAAGAGCTAAGCTGGGAGTCTCCTCCCCTGACACACGCATAAGCGTGCACACGTACACAGGCAGGCCCACAGGCCCATAACCCCTCCCCACACACAGGCACACGACGCGCATCTATTTATAGACCACAAAATTATCCTCAACTACACCTGCGTACAGCCCCACACACAGCAGCATATACCTTTATACAGCAAATGCACACACTCGTTTAAACACACACGTACACACTCAGACACACACTTGTGCAGACAATACTCACTCTGCTCTCCCAGATGCAGCCCTGTTGGAGACATACCAGAATTTTACACACGAATGCGCATAGGTGTGCCCACACCAGCATATATGGTCTGCAGAGACCATAGAAACATAGTGCACAGACTTCCCTTCTCGCCAAAATCCCGGCTGCTCCGCAAAGAGGCGTCCGTGCCTCTGCATGTCCCTGGTGAAGCCTGGTCCGGAGACTTAGGACAGCTCCAGGTCTCAAGGCCCTCCAAATATGCTCCCCGCCCCCCTTACCCTCCAACCCCTACCACCAATCCCCACCTGGCAGCATCAGGCTCTGCCACAAGGTGTTTGGCGACTTCACAACGACCCTGGGAGCCAGCAGGGTCTGGCAGTTCGCAGATTCGGGGAAGGAGGAGTCCTGGGTTCTAGGTGCCCCCTGGCTTTTCGACTGGGCACAGCGGCGACCCCGCAGCTCCCAGTCGTTGAAGCAAAGAGTGTAGATCCCCGGTTGGGGAAGGCTGCATCAGGGTAGCTCCAGGTGCTGGGCACAGCAGGACTCCTATTAGGTGACTCCAGGGCCTGGCCAGAGGGCGTTAATAGGCTAGGGACTTGGTTACCCACTCACTTCCCTAGTGATTCCCCCCCTCAATTTCTTCCAAGGCTCGGCTCCACAGGCTGGAGAGGCCAGGCAGTAGGCTAGGGGCACACAGGCCTCCTGGACACAAATTTCGTTACCTTTATTTCCCCCACGTGGATTCTACTCCACACCCCACAGCTTCCAGTCTAGACCCCAGCCTGAGTTTGCTTGCTTGATTTTGCTTTCCTGCATTGCTCCCGCTTTCTTGGTGGATAGGTTCCCCCTCCTACTGGCCTCTGCCGTTCCCGCTTAGCACCCTTTCTACAGGGCTAGCCCTGGTCCCAACGCGAAGCCGGCTTTGTCCTAAGATTGTATTTCTGACTCTGCCTCCTCCCGCTGTACCCCTGTCCCCAAAGCACCACCGAAGCGCGATCACATTGCTTCCATTCTTGGCTTCGCCCCACTTTCAGCCCCACTTCTTCTCTCAGCCGTCTCCTTTTCCTCTTAGTGCAGCCTTTAACATTTCCTCCTCAGGGTTGGCCCTTAGACACAGGAGCTTCCCTGGTTAGGGCACGGCCCATTCCAGCCCGCTTTAAATCCCGTGCTCACCTCCCAGGGGCTTAGGCCCAGCTGCTGTTTAAAGCCCCCTTTCCTGTCAAGCTCCTTCCAGATCCTTCTCATCTCCACTTCTGGTTCCATACCCAGGAGACACCCCCAAATACCCCCAGATTCCTCCCACTCTCATCCCCCTTCCTACCTTCCAGCCATGAGCCCAACTTTCCTTCTCAGTTTCATCCTTAAACACCTCCCTTTCTTCCTAGGACTCAACATCGCCTCAGGCTTCCCATTCGGCCCCCCTTCAGCCCTATTCCATACCCTTTTTCTTTTCTCTCCGGTGCCTCAGGCTCGAGTCTCATTCTCTCTTAGCGCCCCCTTGCGCTAGTTTCCAGCCACACCCCCAGGGTCCTCTTCCTAGGCTGTGTCAACTGAGCGCCCCCATTTGGTTGCCTCTCCGCTCCACAGGGCATGTTCGTACTGGGCCTACCCTATGCCATCCTACACGGCGGCTACCTGGGATTGTTCCTCATCATCTTTGCCGCCGTGGTGTGCTGCTACACCGGCAAGATCCTCATCGCTTGCCTGTACGAGGAGAACGAGGACGGCGAGGTGGTGCGCGTGCGGGACTCCTATGTGGCCATAGCCAATGCGTGCTGTGCTCCGCGCTTCCCCACGCTGGGCGGCCGCGTGGTCAACGTGGCGCAGATCATCGAGCTGGTGATGACGTGCATCTTGTACGTGGTGGTGAGCGGCAATCTCATGTACAACAGCTTCCCGGGGCTGCCCGTGTCGCAGAAGTCCTGGTCCATTATCGCCACGGCCGTGCTGCTGCCCTGCGCCTTCCTAAAGAACCTCAAGGCCGTGTCAAAGTTCAGTCTGCTGTGCACGCTGGCCCACTTCGTCATCAATATCCTGGTCATCGCTTACTGTCTCTCGCGGGCGCGCGACTGGGCCTGGGAGAAGGTGAAGTTCTACATCGACGTCAAGAAGTTCCCCATCTCCATTGGCATCATCGTGTTCAGCTACACGTCGCAGATCTTTCTGCCCTCGCTGGAGGGCAACATGCAGCAGCCCAGCGAATTCCACTGCATGATGAACTGGACGCACATCGCCGCCTGCGTGCTCAAGGGCCTCTTCGCGCTCGTCGCCTACCTCACCTGGGCGGATGAGACCAAGGAAGTCATTACGGATAACCTGCCCGGCTCCATCCGCGCCGTGGTCAACATCTTTCTGGTGGCCAAGGCGCTCTTGTCCTACCCGCTGCCCTTCTTCGCTGCTGTGGAGGTGCTGGAGAAGTCGCTCTTCCAGGAAGGCAGCCGCGCCTTCTTCCCCGCCTGCTACGGAGGCGACGGGCGCCTCAAGTCGTGGGGGCTGACGCTGCGCTGCGCGCTGGTCGTCTTCACGCTGCTCATGGCCATCTACGTGCCCCACTTCGCGCTGCTCATGGGCCTCACCGGCAGCCTCACCGGCGCCGGTCTCTGCTTCCTGCTGCCCAGCCTCTTCCACCTGCGCCTACTCTGGCGCAAGCTGCTTTGGCATCAAGTCTTCTTCGATGTAGCCATCTTCGTCATCGGCGGCATCTGCAGTGTGTCCGGCTTCGTGCATTCCCTCGAGGGCCTCATCGAGGCCTACCGAACCAACGCGGAGGACTAGGCGTGCGGGCCAGCCCGGCTG